CTCATTCATTCTCTAGGGGCAGAGGGGAATATGATTCCCGTTGAAAACTTCTTTTACAGTTCTTTTTTTAACCTGCCTTTAAGACTAGTGACATCTTGCTCAGGCTAAGCAAAAATCTAATTACTGGGCTTTGTGGCTTCTCATCTTTCACTCTCACTCCCTTGCTCTTTTTCACTGCCTGTGGGCTCTCTCAATTAACTTTTCCCCCCAAACAATTTTCTCCTTTCTTCCTTTGCTGGCAGGAAGTCATTCTCTCTCCATAGTTTCTACCTCTCACTTGATTTGCCTTATATTTGTTCTTAATTCTTCACCTGTGCTTCTCCTCTCTTCCCCATAAATCTTTTACACCACATCAGCCTTTTTGCTTGACCCCATATCACTTTTCTCCATCTCTGTTCCTTCTCCTTCTTCCTCTTATCCTACCCAGCTCTATTGTCCATACATACTTGCTTTCCCCCTGCTGAAGGCTACCATCAGACCCCAGTGATTTTTCTACTCAGTTCTTCCCCTGGCACAGAAAAAATGACTGCTCTATTCATTCACATCAGGTAAACAGTCTCTAAAGCAATGACACCTATGCTGACTGAAAATTGGGATTTCTGTCCCAGAGAAAATGGGACAGAATGTTTTGACATTTGTTTTTGGAACAATATTTAAAATATCAAACTTATTTGCAAAATGACAAGATTAAAAAAAAAGCCTATTAGACAATGATAAATACTTTGGAATTCTTAACTGAATATTTCAATGTTCACAAAAAAATTGGATTCAGAATCTTTCTTCTTTTGCAATCTCTTGCAGTCAAGGATGATTGTCTGCCGCTGATTTAATGGAAGACATCTGTGCATTACTTCTTTTATTGTGGAGAAGCTGCTGCACATCAGCTTCCAGATGGCTCTTGACAGAACAGGGCCTTGATCCAATGGCAGAGACCAAGACAACTGGGGATCTCATTCCACTGCAGCCTTCATCTCCCTTTACAGACATTAAGACTCTTAACTTCTTCTTCTGCCTGCTCCACCACTGAGGACTTGTGGGCCCATGGCTAGGGGCTGGGCAGACTTATTATAGTGGAACCTGTACTTGCTTTATCACAATGCGGTCAAAGGATATATGTAGCTTTTCAGGAAGGAAAGCATTGCCATCTGCTGTCCTTACCACATTCTGGTGGTGCTGCTACTGCTTGGTCCATAACTGCTTAATTCATCGGAGTTACCCCTGCTTATTTCACAGCTAACCTTCCCTGACTGTCATTCCACTATCCATCACCTGTGGACATGCTGGGTAGCAGCACAACTCTGCCCCACAGGGCATCCGGTCCAAATCTTTAAACCACGGCTGCCAAACATACGGCCTGTGGGCTCGATCTGGCCCATGGAACCATTGTGTCTGGCCCACCAGTGGTTTGATGGGCTACCAGAAGTGTCTTGCCCCTTGGCTCCATACTGCCACATGCCCCCAGGCACAGAGCTGGGGACATGCAGCTGCAGAAACATAGCTTCATGCTGCTGCCCAGTGGCATGGAGCTTGGGCTGGTTGGCAGTGCCAGACAGGTGTGGCAGCATAGGTTTGAGGGTGTGTGGCTGCAGAGAGCTGCACTTGTGTAGTGTGGAGCCCAGGGCATGCACTAGTGCAGAGCTCTGGACAAATGCAGCTCCATGCTGCTGCACACCCCCTGCTCCATGCTGCTGCCCAGCCAGAGCTCTGCACTGCCACATGCCTCTATCTTCTAATGGATGCATGCCCCCAGCTCTGAGCTGCACAAATGTGGCTCTGTGCAGCCACACACTTGTGGACCCATGGTGTCACACAAATGCAGCCCCACAGATCTGGCCTAAGAGGAGTCCCTGTGGTCTGGATCTAGCCTGGAGTGAGTTTGACACCCCTGCTTTAAACCATATTTCCCTGTAACGGTGCATTCTGTCATGAAGTTGTAGTTCAATGTGCCGTCATTTTCCCTTCATTATGCAGCCAGAGTCCACAATGCACCATGCTGCTCAGAGAGAAAATTCTTGCATCATGGAAGGTGCAGTTTGCCCACAGAGCTCAGTCCATGCAGGAGAATGGGAGCCTGAGTTACATTACATTACATCAGGAGGCACTACTTTACAGTCAGGGTGGCTAGGATCTGGAACCAACTTCCAAGGGAAGTGGTGCTCGCTGCTACCCTGGGGGTCTTCAAAAGGAGGCTAGACAATCACCTAGCCAGGGTCGTTTGACCCCAGCATTCTTTCCTGCCCATGGCAGAGGGTCGGACTTGATGATCTGCTCAGATCCCTTCCAACCCTACCTACTATGAAACCCATCAGAAAACGTGCCACAAGATGGAAGTGCACTTGTTTGATAAATGTAATGTTTTGTGCCAGTTCAAGAATCCAAAATGCTTCACCTCTGGTCAAACCCCTCCAAAATTAAACACCTCATTTTGTTTTTTCCACCAGAAATAACAACAACAAATGCCTGCATGAAATTGTTGTTCTTGCTGGAAACTATTTTGTGCTAGAAGATAATCTCAGGAAAAACTGCAAGTTGTTCTGCTTCTCTGTCCAAAAATGGCTGGTTGGCACACAGCAAATAGCTCCTTTATTAAGAAACTGAGATAGTGCCTTAGTACCAAGAAGGCACTGGTGCTGGTAAAAAGTTCTGTTCTCCACTATCAGTCAGGGTCAAGCCCTATGGGGACAGATGATGATGACAGCTGAAGCCTGTAATAGATTGCCTATTTCAAAATGGATCACAGTCATAGTCATGATAAAAAAGGGACCAGATTTGCTCTGTACCTCTATAAAACCTCTCTTTTTCTCCCTCTCTGTAGTCCCCTTGCACAGGTTGTGGAAGCTAGCGCCAGAGGAAAGAGGCTGTCAGTCTCCTCTAGGAGCATCTCTCTTCACCCTACCTTCAAGCCTATCCCATCCTACTGCTTCCACATAATTTGCTGAGGTGTGTCCAATGTTAACTTTTTGATAACAATTTTTTTCCCTCCACCCTCTAGGAAAACACTGGTTTAGGGAAGCAGAATCAGGGAGGTTAACCCTTTAAATTCATTTACTTTAGTTGTGCTGTGGTTATAATTAAAATATTTCTACCATTTTAAAAGGGGTTTGCATATTTCAGAAATAGACCTCCATTGTAAAGATGGGGTAATAGCAAAGGGACCCAAACTTTGAACACTTGCATTGGATATGGCCTAAGTGCCCTATATCTAACTCTATCAGACTAACTTCAGAAGCAACAGTGAGGTAGTTATATATTTAGAAAGCATTTCAAGATGGTAAGAAAGCTGGACTCTTGTCTTAGCTGTGCCCTTACCCGTTTAACGAGGAAGCCCTTCCTCAGCACTCCACTTGCTTCTTCCATCCTGGCCCCAGGTAAGCAGGCTGAGCGTTTGCCAAGAAGCTCTGAAGCAGTCCTAACCTGTCTCTCAGCACTCAAGATTTTTAAGGAGGTACAAATTGCCCTCCGCCTCCCTCATCATCTGTGACGTTCCCCTTCCCACCCTCCTCCACTTTCCCTTTCAACCCTACCAATGAAACATTAGTTAAACATTGAGCTGGCTCTAATAAGGCACCAACCCTCAGGGAAATCAAGAAAAAAATTAACAGGATTGCAGTGTGACTTGTATAGGGCTTAAAACAGGAGGAAAACACCTATCTGGTGACTCAGGCAACATTACAAGCAACCACAAAATAATACAAATCAGGAAAGAGACAAGACACTGTGTAGGTGGGAAAGGGAGGAGCAGAAGCTGTAATATTCAGCCTATCAAGACTCCAGACAGCTTAGTTTAACAGTATGAGTTTTATCCTTTAATAAATATAAGGATACTATATACAATACTCTTTACAATATATATATATTTTTAAGTCTAAAAGTTCATTTCAGAAATTTACTTTTACAAATCCCACATTTTAAGCTTAAGGGGATGTCAGAAGATGTAGACCAAGATTCTCACCTATGACTGTTAATAGTTAGGTTAGTTGAAACTAAAACTGATTTTTAGAAGTTCAGAGGATCAAATAGCCTCTAATATTTTCTATGGAAACTGCTGGGTGCCCATCTCTTCTGAAATGTAAGTCTAAAATTTACACACCTGAATATGAACGAAGAGGCCTAACATTAGAAATTAAAAAAAATATTGACTAAGATTAATCGCTTTCTTTGGGGTTTGCTCAAGTAAATAAACATAAGCTAACTGTATTTCAATCAAAGAAATATTTGAAGCCTGTCTTGAATGGTTTGCATTTCCTATGGCAAAGAAAACATTTAAAATACTCGGGACTGTTGTAAGAAACACCCATTAGGATAAATAATAAGCAAAACTGGCTGCTGTCACAGACAACAGTCCAAAGTCCCCAACAGAGTGAGTCACAGGACAGGAAGCATAAGTCACTAACTGTTGCATACTTTGATGGGTCTAAACACTGGTCACACTTTCCCATGTTAAAAAAAAAGGAATAAGTAGGTAAAAATGTTATCTTTATAACACTGTTCTGCAGACACTTGATATCCGGCCAGAAGCGTAAAGACACTGGAGACGGGGTGTAGGTTGTAGCGTGTTGGTCTAAGGACACAGGCAGACAAGGTTCTTTGGGTGAATCTGATATCTTTTATCAGACCAACTTAAATAGTTGGAAAACAATTTTTAAGCAAGCTTTCAGGTTCAAAAACTCTTCATCAGGCTAAGGAAGTTTCAGCAGTTGGTGTATGCATCTTGTATGCATACCAGCCCAGCCTCTAACTTCTTGACTTTTCATTCCATCCAGGAAGAGCACACACTAACTGCTGAAACTTCTTCAGCCCAACCAAGGGTTTTTGAACACGAAAGCTTGCTTAAAAATTGTTTTCCAACTATTTAAGTTGGTCTGATAAAAGATATCAGATTCACCCAAAGAACCTTGTCTGCCTAAGATACTTCAGAGGTATCTGACAGAGCTCTAGAGAAGCTGCACAAGCCAGCAGG